GACACAAACCGCGGTCGACTACATGGGAGTCCAGCGACATAGCCATTACGCTAACTGCTGGTTCCCGTAATTCATTTCTTTCTGTACACAGTATGTGGCACATAGTAAATCCTTAATAAATGCTTATTGAATCAAGAAACAAAGTGGTTTAGTAATTCAGAGGAAGGTAATAATCCTCCAACTAGATGATTAAGGGCTATTCCATGCAAGAGATGATCTTTGACCTAAGCTTTGAAGAGAGAGTACAATTTAAACATGTGGAAAAATGAGGAAAGGAGGGAAATCAAATGATAAGAATCATAGCTGGCAGGGCTGGCAAGTGGAGCGGTGGTTAAGGGTGCAGGACTCTGACATGGCTAGCCGCAGTTCGAGTCTCGCTTGGAGCAAGCCTGGAGGCTTGCTCTCTCACTTTCTCTCTCTCTTTCTCATCCTGTCCCTCTCTGGTCAAATGTAAAAAATAAATAAGGTTAAAGAAAATAATTATTAAAGTCATTTTTTAAATCATAGCTGGGACCAGCACATGGTGTAATGGTTATGTCACTGGACTCCCATTTAGTCGACTGGAGTTTGAGACCTGGACCCGGTGGTTTAAAACTCATGCCGGGCATGTGTGCACGAGTGCCCAAAATCCAAAAAGGAGAATGGAGGAGAAGGGACTGTGATGTGGCTATTCCCCACCCCACGGAATGGAGGAGAAGGGACTGCGATGTGGCTATTCCCCACCCCACCCCCCGGGAGTGATTTCTCACCTTCCATCTCTTTGTCTCTGTCTCTCTGGTGAACTCACATGCCCTACAGCAAAAATCTCTTTTAAAAAATTGCTAATATTTACTTAATGCTTACTATATATGAGGTACTATTCTATGTATCTTACATGAATTCTCTCATTTAATATACAACTGTATGAAATAAGTACTGTTATTATTCCTGCTCAGTCCATGACATGACTAAGGCACAGAAACATTAAGTAATTGGCTCTAGGTCATACTAGCTATTATGTAGCCCTGCAGTGAATCAGGTTGAATGGACTTCAAAACTTTTTTCCTGGGACCAGCAGATGGTGTAATGGTTATGTCACTGGACTCCCATGTAGTCGACTATAGTTTGAGACCCAGACCCAGCAGCTTAAAACTCACACCAAGAATGTGCTTGTGTGCGTGTCCGAGATCTCAAGAGGAGAATGGAGGAAAAGGGGTTACAGTGTGGCCCTCCCCCCTGGCGGGTGAGTTCTCACCTTCTGTCTCTGTCACTATGGCAAGTACACGCGCACTATAGCAAAAAAAACCCACTTTTTCCTTCTATTCTTTTCTCTTCCTTTACTCTCCTCAGAATAGTCATTGGGAAGTTGGTAAGATTCCCAAATAACTCAATACTTTTATGACATATGTTTTAGCTACAAGTAACACGTTTTACATAGTTTTGAAATTTACATGTATGTGGTCATTTCACACTTTTATAATGCCTTTTTTCACTGTGTACCATGTATTTGAGATTTGTAGATGCAGATATAGTACATTTATTTATTTATTTATTTATTTATTTATTATTTATTTTGGGGGGCGAGGTTTTTGCTTTAGGGCGTGTGTGCTTGCCAGAAAGACAGAGACAGAGAGACACAAAGTGAGAAATCACCCTTCAGGAGGGACGGCCATGTCACAATCCCTTCTCTATTCTCCTCTCGGGATCTTGGGCATGTACGCACACGCGCCCAGCGTGAGTTTAAGCCACTGGGTCTGGGACTCAACCTGCAGTCGACTACGTGGGAGTCCAGCAACATAGCCATTATGCTAACTGCTGGCCCCAGTATTTTTGACATTCTTATAAATGATCTAAGTATAGTTCTTCTCCCTCCCACCTTATTAAGTTGTAATATGTAAGCCAAACAAAAACAAGAAACAAAAACCATGGTTTTTGTGTCCAGTAAGCTGGGCCACTAAAGCTATAGGTTTCAGTTACATTAGAGATAGGAAAATCATTTTCTCTCCTCTTTGCTTCATTTCTCACCAAAATAATCCAGTCTTCCAGCAGCCAATAAAAGACTTCCTACTCGAGCCTCAGTCCTTAGTGTCATGCTATGAGTTGTTAAAAGGCATCACTAAGGATAAGGCAACTTAAACTAGAATTGTGAAACTCTGAAGTCAGATTAATACCTCCATTTCCCCTCTCTCCACCATCTTTGATCACAGTTTAAAACATCATCCTCTCTTGTCATCTATTCTTTTATTTTCATGCTACTCTGCTCCTTCATAACTCAACCTCCCAATGCTTATCTTCCTCACAAATCCCTCCATTCCGCTTTCTGGAGCTCTGTTTTAGATAAATGCTTCTATCCTCAGCATCATTAATAACACTCCTCGATACATCCTTACTTTACTGTTTTATTTTTCTTACTGATTTACTTTTATTTTTATTTACATTTAATCACATACATCTTTACAGTGTATAATACTGCTTTTTCCAGCACAAATACTATGCACATCAGTCAAGACAAAGACATTACTATATCTTATCTATTATCATCAGCAAATAGCTTTTTTTGGTCAATTAAATGTATTTTTCCCCATTCCTCTCCCTCCCTCCATTACACACCCCCATATTACCACTATGCTTACTATCTCTAGTATCTACAGTTGCCCTCTGTGCTACTAGTGTGCATACATGCTCAAGATCCCGAGAGGAGAATGGAGGAGAAGAGATTGTGGCATGGCCATCCCCTCTGGGGGGAGTGATTTCTCGCTTTCTGTCTCTCTGTCTTCTTGGCAAGCACACATGCCCTATAGCAAAAACCTCTCTCACAAAAAACCAAAAAAACAAAACAAAAAAAAGATGCCTCTTGCCTATTCCCTCTCAAATGTAGTCTATTTATTCCCCCAAACCTCACAACTGAGCTTAGGTGCTAGGCTCATTATGCTTCCAGTGCTGCTTCCAAATTATTATTCCTTTATCTTGGAAATGCTGGGTTTCATTACATTCACCTCCACTCCTAGTCTTTATCATTCATTGACAACTCTGGCACTTGACTCAGTATGTTTCTCTGTTCCAAATCCAACCACATTAAAGGACATTAAAGAAAAATATTCTTTCTACCCCTAGAGACAGAATGGGACAGAATGGGGTAACAATGAGACTCTTGCCCATACAAAGAAATGCAACCTTTGTTTTCTTTGTATTCAAAGTAAATACCACTTTAGAAAACTTAACCGCACCTGGGAAGGACCAGCAGATGGTGTAATAGCTACGCCGCTGGACTTCCATGTGGTCGATTGTGGTTCGAGTCCCACACCCAGTGGCTAAAATTTAGACTGGGTGTATGTGTCTGTGTGCCCAAGATCCCAAGAGGAGAACAGAAGAGAAAGGATTGTGGTGTGTGTGCAGGGGCGTTTTCTCACATTCTGTCTCTGTCTCTCTGGTGAGCGCATGCACCCTATAGCAAAATCTCTCTTTTAAAAAAAAAAGAAAACTTACCGCATCAAATGTGAAAGAGTTTATGTTTTCAGATGCTCCTGAAATATCCTTATGAATAAAGTCCACATTGTCTGGCCACTCTTCTACGTGACTTAATTTCCATGAGTCACGCCAGTGTTTATAATTCTTCTTAGCCAAATTATGGTGGTCTTTTCGTATTTCAAAACTTATGACTCGTCCTTTTGATCCAACTTAAGTAAAATATAATATTTATGATATTTCACAGTATTAATCAGTTCATAGAGTGCCAAAAATTATTTGCCAAAAGTATTGCATGTATGCGAAAAGATAATTCAACTAGTTCATAGTTATAGGTCTCTGTCTTTTCCCTGACTCCCAGTCAATCTCCCTCTTCAAAGGCAAGCACACTACCAGTTATTTATTTTTCCTATGGTAGTTGGAGCTTAGAAAAGCATTTGAGTATCTCCCTCTGTTTTTAATGTACATTGTGTTATTTGTACACTCTTTTCTGTACCGTTCTTCTTATTAATGTCATTTCAGTAGTTACAGATGAATAGCATTCTTTTTTTTAATAATTTATTTTAAATTTTATTTACTCATTCATTTTTTTTTGTTTGTTTTTAATGTTGACCAGAGAGACACAGAGAAAGAGTAAGTGAAAAGTAAGCCACCTGGTCTGGTACTCGAACCATGGCTGGCTACGTGGGAGTGTTCAGCTCCTTAACCACCATTCCACCTGCTGGTCCTGAATAGCATTCTTTTTAAAGCCTATTAAATTCTGAGACCAGCAGTTTGCATAATGGCTATGTTGCTGGACTCCCATGTAGTCGACTACAGTTAGAGTCCCGGACCTTGTGGCTTAAACTCACACCGGGTGCATGTGCATGCATGCCCAAGATCCCGAGAGGAAAATGGAGGAGAAGGGATTGTGGTGTGGCCATCCCCCCTACCCCCCAAGGGGTGATTTCTTGCTTGCTCTTTCTCTGTCTCTCTCTGACTTTCTGGTGAGTGCACGTGCCCAATAGCAAAAAACTCTCCAAAAAAAAAAGCTATTAAATTCCATAGTAGTGTGGGGGCCAGCAGGTGGCCTGGTGGTTAAAGGTGTTGGATTCCCACATGACCAACCATAGTTTGAGTCCTGGACCTGGTGACTTCTTTCTTACTTTCCCTTTCTCTCTTTCTCTCTCTGGTCAAATTAAATCATAATAACAATAACAAATAGAATTAAATAAATAAATAATTCTTTTTAAAAAAAAATTCCACAGTAGGACTATGCCATAGTTTATTTCACTAGTCCTCTACTGATGACCATTTACTTGCTTTAGTCTAATGCTAATACAAACAACACTGCAATGAAAATTCTAGTGTTTAAGTCTTTGTACTATGATCTGGTAAATGTCTATAGGATAAAATCCTAAAAATGGAATTGCTGACTCAAGAGGATTTTTTTTATTTTGAAAAATATTAACAAAACTGTATTTTGAAAAAGTGGTACCAATTTATCTTTCACCAGTAATGTATGAAAGTATTCTTTTCTCCATATTTTCCCCAATAAAGTTATCACATTTTTTGTGTGTCAGTCTAAAATGGGGATAGAGTTTGTCATTGTAATTTTTAATTTGCATTTATTTTATTATGGATGAGATTGAGTCTTTCATTTATTTAAAAGGCTCTTTTTTTAAGTTTTTTTTTTTTTTTTTAAATAGGGCATGTGTGCTTGCTGGAGAAAGAGAAGTTGAGAAATCTCTCCCTAGGGGGCATGGCCATCTTGCAAACCCTTCTCCTCCATTCTCCTTTTCGAATTCTGAGCATGAATGCATACGTGCCTGGTTTCAAGATGCCGGATCTGGGACTTGAACTGTGGTTGGAAATGTGTGAATCCAGTGCCTTAATCACCACTCCACCTGCTGACCCCAGTGCTTGCATTTTTATGTGTATCTGAAGAACTTTCAAACTATTAGCATAGTGATACTATAATTCCAGAGAATATTATATTTTAACTTAAGTGAATTTCCCACTGATCTCTATCTGACGTGATTTGATACTATTTGGAGGCCATCCCAGATCAATCAGTATACTAATAAAAAGTTTATATTCCAGATGTCTTTTGAAATATAACTCCAGGTGCAAGTTATCATGTTCTCAATGGATTAAAAATTCATGATAATAGTAGTATAAACTAAACAACTGAAAATATAGAGAAAAAAATCCCAAGGTAAATAGCAATAATTATTCAATCACTCATAGTTTGGGATTATTCATACCATGACACTTGTCTGATACTAACATTTTAGAAATATAGGCACATCTTATATCTTACAAATTTTTATAAATTCACTTTGTAGATGACAGCATGAATTTAGAATTTTATAAAAATTATTTATTTATTTTTATTCATTCATTCATTTTAATTTGACCAGAGAGACACACAGAGAGAGAGAGAGAGAAAGTGAGAGAGCAAGCCATCAGGTCCAGGACTTGAGCCGTGGTCAGTCATGTGGGAATGTCTAGCACCTTAACCACCATGCCATTGCTGCTGGTCCCTGTATTTAGGAATTTAAGAAATTACGAAGAAGTGACTTTCTTTATGTACAGAAGAGTCAAACAAAAGATTTGAGAAATCTCAAATTCTTTTTTTTTAAAGAATTATTTATTTAATGTTACTTATTTATTCATTTCATTTTAATTTGTCCAGAGAGAGATACAGAGAGAGAGAGAGAAAGAGAGAGGGAAAGTGAGAAATCAAGCCACCAGGTCTGGGACTTGAACCATGGTTGCATGTGGAAGTGTCCAGAGCCTTAGCCACCACACCACCTGCTGGTCCCGGAATCTCAAATTCTAAATCTCAAATTCTCAGAATGAATTTACTGAACCAGTATAATAGGAATTACATTTGTATGTGATGACACTGGTCAAAGAACAAAAGGTTTAAATTTAATTCAGTATAGTTCTAGCTGCAATCCTTATAAAATCTACCCAAAGACAGGACCAGCAGATGGTGTAATGGTTACATTGCTGGACTTCCATGGAGTAGATCATGGTTCAAGTCTTGGACCTGGCAGCTCCATACTCACACCCAGCATGTGTGTGTGCATGCCCAAGTTCCTGAGGAGAAGGGATTGTAGTGTGGCCATCACCCCAAGGAATGATTTCTCACTTTCTATCTCTCTGGCAAGTGTATGCACTCTATAGCAAAAAAAACTCTCAAAAAAATAAGTTAAAAAAAATCTACCCAAAGTGCTGTTACTATTCAGTGGTCTATTAGGTAAGACTGCACCAGCAGCTAGACCACCCAAAGCAACTCCAACAGTCAGAGGAATTAAGTAGTCAAAGGGAGCATCAATTAACAGAGTAATAGTAACCAGAAGAGAAGTGGTAGGTACATAAAATGAATTTCATGTCTCATATAGGCCTCTTTTTTTTTTTTTTTAATTTTGCCAGAGGGCATGTGTACCAGCGGGGAGGAGGGTGGTGTTTTTTTAAATTTTGCCAGAGGGCATGTGTACCAGTGGGGAGGAGGGTGGAAGGCAAAAATGCACCCCCCATGGGGCATGGTCACACCACAATCCCTTCTCCGTTTCTCCCTGCTTTCAGGATTTCAGGTGCATACACACACATGCCCAACATGTTTTTCAAGCTGCCAGGGCCAGGACTCAAACTGTATGGTCAACCAAGGGAATGTTGCAGCCTTAACCACCATGCCACCAGGTGACTCTAATATATACTTCTTGATTTTTGATCGGAAACCTATCTTCATGTAGTATGTTTACCAACTGATCATTTTTAGATTTAAAAAAAATTCTTTGTGATCTAGCTTTAGAGTAGTTTTATATTATTATTGATTTATTTGTGAACTACTATAATCCTTTGGCCCTAACAGTATATAGCTCTATCCCAGCAGCTGACACCTTCTACATCCCTCCCATATTCTCTCACACTGAGTATTCACCTTGTGCTATTTTCAACAATAGAGTGCACATATGTGAACCAAAAGACAAGTACAAGAATGTTGAGAGCAGCACTATTTATAGTGTCTAGCTCAAACATTCATCAACAGAATAGATAAGCCAAGACTTATATGTATATAAAATAGAATATTACCTATCAACTACAATGAAAAAACTACTGCTGTATGCAATGGCTGAATTTGACAAACATAGTGAAAGTAGCCACATACAAAGAGGACACACTGTATGATTCTGTTTAAGATTTGAAACAAAATTAATCAGTGGTGACAAAAGTCAGAACAGTGGTTACCTCTAGGGAAAACAGGGATGGGGAGGGGAAATGAGGAGGCATCTGTGACGTAGGAACACCCTCTACCTTGATCTGGGTAATAACATTAGTGTGGTTACTATAGAAAGCTTCATTGAGGTCTATATTTTAAATTACTGTGCTTTTTTTATAGTGATGTTATGCTCTAATTAAATGTTTGCTTGGGCCAGCTGGTGCCTTAGTGGTCAAGGTGACTGGATCTCATATGGCTAACTGCATGGTTCAGTTCAAGTCTTGGATCCAATGGCTTATATAACACACTGGGCATGTGTGTATGTATATGTGTGTGTGTGTATGCCCAAAATCCCCAAAGGAGGGAGAAATGGAGAATGGTTGCAGTGTGACTGTTCTCTGTGGAGGTGGGGGAATGCTTTTTCACTATCTCCCCCCCATGACACACAAGCCCTCTAGCAAATTAAAAAAAAGAAAAAAGTTTACTTAAAAGTAGGGCCAGGAGGTGGTATGGTAGTTAAGGCATTGGATCCTACAAGGTGGGCAGCTAAGTTCAAGTTCCTGATAGGAAGCTTAAAAAACATGACAGATATGCTTACCTAAAATCCTAAGAGGAGAGTAAAGAAGGGATTGCGGCATGGCCATCACCTCTGGAGGGTAATTTCTCAATTTCTCTCTTCATCTCTTTCTGGCAAGTGTGCACACCCTATAGTAAACTAAAAAAATGTGTGTGTGTGTGTGTGTGTGTGTATGCATGCATTAGCACAGAGGGAATAAGAGAAAGCAGAGATGGAGGATTAGAAAGAGAGTGACTGAAAGTAAATGTCAAAATGGAAAGGAAAATAGATGCTAACATCTGGTGGAGGAAAATGCTTTCTATCACAAAGTTTTATGATTATTTCCTCAAATATCTTCTTTTAACTTTCTGCTATTGCGAACAAACTGAATGTTTTATTATCTAGATTCAGTTTACTTATCCCAATCTCTTACCTGCTCTGGATAAAAATAAGCTCATTCCACCAGTGCCTGAGCCAACTTCCAAAACGGTATCACCTGGGCTGATATCCATCATCAATAGCATCATATTCATATCCTATAATTGAAATACAATATGGGGGATTTAGTGTCAATAAATATATACTAAGTACCACCTTTTATTTTACACTGGGTTGCACAGAGAAAAAGGGACTAAAAAATAAAGGATTTAGACTTTGGTCCTGCCTGCAAAGTTATATTATGCTCTATGAAATAAGAAAGACTGAAAAATCAACTAGCAAATTAGGCAGCACTTTTTGTTGTTGTTGGTTTTTTTTTTTTTCAAAGAGATGTTTTGCTGTAGGGTGCATGCGCTCGCCAGAGACAGAAAGACAGAAAGTGAGAAATCGCCCCCCAGAAGGGATGGCCATGCCACAATCCCTTCTCCTCCATCCTCCTCGGGATTTTGGGCACGCATGCACACATGGCTGGCATGAGTTTAAGCTGCTGGGTCTGGACCTGAGCTGCAGTCAACTATGTGGGAGTCCAGTAACATAACCATTATGCCATCTGCTGGTCCCAAGGCAGCACTTTGTAATATAGAAATTATAGACAATAATACAGAAGCACAAAGGATGAAGAAAGCAGCAGATTGGACTAGCTTAAAGATAAGGAGTGGAGGGGCTGGCATATGGTGTGGTGGTTAAAGGCGCTGAACTCCCAGGTGACTGACAGTGGTTCAAGTCCTGGACCTGGTGGCTTGCTTTCTCACTTTTTCTCTCTCTCTGATCAAATTAAATAGTAATAATAATAAAAAAGTTAAATAATTTTTTTAAAAAAGATAAGGAGTGGAGAATTTAAAAAATTGCAAGGTATAGAAACAGCTTTAAACAAGGCACTAGCAGTTGGCATAATGGCTATGTTGCTGGACTCCCATGTAGTCAATTGTGGTTCGAGTCTCAGGCCTGGTGGCTTAAACTCATGCTGGGTGTGTGTGCATGCGTGTCCAAGATCCTGAGAGGAGAAGAGAGAAGGGACTGCAGTGTGGCCATCCCCTCTAAGGGGTGATTTCTTGCTTTCTGTCTCTCTGGCAAACACACACACTCTATAGCAAAAACCTCTCCAGAAAAAGAAACAGCTTTAAACAAAACAGAGGGCCAGCAGGTGGTGTGGTGGTCAAGGCACTGGACATTGCCACATGGCTGACTACGGTTTAAGTCCTGGACCTGGTGGCTTGCTTTCTCACTTTCCTTCTCGCTGTGTCTGTATTTCTGTGGTCAAATTAAAATATATGAACGAATAAATAAAATTAAACAATTCTTTAAAAAAATAAAATAAAGCAGAGATTAAACAGTCTGTCCATCTCAGAAGGAAAGATAGGGAGAGACTTAAATGCCAGTCTGAGGCACTTGGCCTTGGTATAGTAAGCAACTAGGGCACATTACTGCAGCAATATAAGTGACTATGAAGATGAATCTGGCAGAGAAATATAGGATATACTAGAGAAAAATAGAGACAGAAAGACCAGTTAGGAAGTAAGGGACCAGAGATGGCATAATGGTAACATCACTGGACTCGCCCATGGCAGACCTTGGTTTGACTCCCGGACTGGAAGGCCTGAAACTCATGCTGGATGCATGTGTTTGCATGCCCAAAATCCTGAGAGGAGAATAGAGGAAAAGGCACTGTGGGGTGGCCATCCCCCTTGGGGGATGTATTCTTGCTTTCTGTCTGTTTCTGGAGAGCTCACGCACCCAATAGCAAAAAATTTCTCAAAAAGAAAAAAAAAAGGAAATTATAATCTTCACATGAAGTGACGAAATCCTAATTTAGAAGTAAAACACTAGGAACAGACTAGAGGATCCATCTGGCAAACATCATAATTGAAGAATTATCCTCGTTAACAAGAATGTTATGGATGACAATAGCAGTTGTTGTTTATTGAAGATTTGCTACATGCTAGATTTCTGTTACTGCCAACTCTTTTCATATACTGTCTTGTTTAATCAAAATATGAGAAAAGTATCACCATCTCCATTATAACGATGAAAAATCAGAGGTTAAGTGATTTGCCTAAGGTCATACTGCCATGAATTCAGTGGGGAAGTCAGAAGTAGAACCAATATTGAACTCTTAAAGACCATGCAGGATGGCAGAGGTTAAGGGCCCTGGACTCCCACATGGCTGACTGCAGTTGGAGTCCCAAACCTGGCAACTTGCCTTCTCTCTCTCTCTCTCCCTCTTACTCTGTCCCTCTCTGGTCAAATTAAAAATAAATTTAAAAAATAATTCTTTTTTTTAAAAAAAGACCATGCTGGGTGTTGACCATTCATTATACTATACCAAATGTCACAGAGACCAAAAACAAATTGTTTTTTGGAGAGGTTTTTGCTATAGGGCACGTGTGCTTGCCAGAAAGAGATAGAAAGTGAGAAATCACCCCCTCCCCAGGGGGGATGGCCATGCCGCAATCCTTCTTCTCCATTCTCCTCTGGAGACATAGGGCACACTCACACATGTGCCCAGCATGAGTTTAAACCACTGGGTTGGGTACTCGAACCACAGTCAACTACACGGGAGCCCAATGATATAGCCGTTATGCCAACTGCTGGGCCCGAGACAGAATTTTATTTATTCTTTAAGAGGTTTTTGTTTTAGGGCACATGTGATTGCCAGAGAGAGAGACAGAGAGACAGAGACAGTGAGAAAGAAAGTAAGAGATCACCCCTCAGGGGCATGGACTTCTCCATTCTTCTCCTAGGATTCTTGTGAACGCAAGCATGCACACCCAGCATGAGTTTCAAGTCACCAGATCCAGGAATTGAACTGTCATGTTGGAGTCCAGCAATGTAACTGCTATGCTATCTGCTGGTCCCAAGACAGAATTTTAAATGACAGCATTTATTTCAACATTCCAGTATCAAACTTCTCAAAGCTGCTGGTAAGCAGCAGTTAACGTGTTTGTTTGGATACTGTCTCCCTATATTGTCCAGACTGGCCTCGAACTTCTGATTCTCTGCCTAACCCTCCCCAGTAGTCAGGACTATAGGTACTCGTAACTATGCCTGGTTTTGGTTAAATTTTACTGAATTTTCCTTCTCTGGGAAAAGCTGCTTGTCAAAATTCCAAGAGTAGAGCTAGGATTCTTCTGTTCAGTTTTTATCTCTTCTTTTTCCCTAGAGGGAAAAGCATAATAATGTATCTATTGTTCACAAAACATAGTCTAGGGGCCAGCAGGTGTTAGCCTGGTGGTTAAGGTGTTGGATTTCTACATGGCTGACCATGGTTCAAGTCCTGGACCTGTGGCTTGCTTTCTCACTTCCCCTCTCTCTCACTCTCTGTCTCTCTTTGGTGAATATTTGGTGAGGGTATGTGCCCTATAGCAAACTTAAATATAATAATAGATAAAATAAGTAATTAAAAAATACATCTAGGGGCCAGCAGATGGCATGGTAGTTAGAGGCGCTAGACTCCCACATGGCCAACAACTGTTCAAGTCCCAGACCTGGTGGCTTGCTTTCTTGCTCTCCCACTCTCTCTCTCTGGTCAAATTCAAAAACAATAATAATGGTGAATAAAGTTAAATGAAATAATTATTGAAAATAATGCATCTAGTCACATGCCTGATTAAAGATGATGAAAATACAAACATAACAGTACTACAAAATTATCTCCCAAAGAATTGAACATTCTCAAGTCCTGAACTTGCAAACTTACAAGTGATGGGGAACAAATATAAGTACTTACTATGTGCCTCCTAAGCCCACAATCACTCTAATAGTATGTTATCATTCTCTTCATTTTATAGATAAGGGAATTGAGACTCCCAAATGAAATCTAGCCAGTTCCTCCTAAAATCCTAACATTTCCTCATCATAAGATTGTAAAAGTAATTTTTGTAGACTAAGCACAATAAAAGCCTCAAACATTCTGATGTGGTGCTGTGCATATATCAGGACTGTAGTGTCGGACCGGTCTTTACTCTTCCTGGGAGCCATACGCACCTCCTCCCCATCTCTTTACCTTTGGGTATGTTATGGCAGGCCCTCTTTTCATCAATAACACATAGTCTTCCAATGCCGGCCTCCTCAGCATGAAGTGCTTACCCGAGGAACTCTGCAGTATCTGGCCAGGGAATTTCCCCACGATCTTGCTGAATGGGACTGACCCCCAACAACTGTTTAAGTGCCCGGTGTCGCTCAACTTAAATAATTTTTTAAACTGTGTTTCTTTCTCCCCAGTCTCAGCTAAAATCATCTCTCCAGCCTGCAAGGGTCTCTCTCTGGAAGCTGCGCAGACGTGAAGTTCTTCGATCTCGGCGGTGGACTGCTCCAGGGCAGGCAGCGAGGGATCCCCAGAGCTCCGGTTTTCGGGACCCGCCAGGCTCTGGTCCCCTCCCGGATCCTTGCGCTCTCGAGATGACTCTTCTCGCGGCGTTGGCAATCTGAGGCTTTCCAGTGACGAAAGCCATCTGGTCCCCAAGCCCGGGACTCGCAGAGGGAGCGATGGGGACGACTCCGCGCCTGGGACTTTCTTTGGAGCCACCCCGCGTCCTCGCTCTCCATCTCGCACGTCTCCACGTGGGTACTTGGAACACAGAGACACTGCTCTCTCCACGGGCTCTCGTCCACCGCGGCGCAAGAACGAACAGGTTCTGAGCTCCGGACGCTCCCGGAGGCGCAGACCGCGGCGCCCTGCCGCCAGCATGGTGTCCAGCACGGGTGTCGTCGCAGCCGAGCGACGTCACCGCGCGAGCCCCGCCCCTCGATGACCTGTGCACCGTCTCAGCCGCCTGGGCTCCGCCTCTACTCCGGCCGCGCTCGGCGACTACGCTGGGTCCAGCGACCGGCCATCGGCCTAGCCGGGGACCGTGGAGCCGCGAGGTCGCCCTGGGTAACTCTGCAGGATAGGAGGATTAAGAGAGAAAACTAGCCAAAGCGCCTTGTAAGCTGTGAAATCCTAAACCAGCATTAGCTCGCTAGGAATCGTGAACACGAACCCCTTCACTCTCCCAAATGCATAAGCAACACCAGCCCCGAGGTGCGTCTGACAGGTGGCGAGGGACGCGCTGCCTCTGACAGCAACGTTCTCCCTTTACCCCCAGCAAGTCCTTTTTGACCATACTCTGACTACCCAAGCCTATCCCAGATCCAGAGTCCTTGGTGGTGGATTAAACTGACGTATCCAACCTGGGAACGTTCCAGGTTCACGTCGAGAGACCTGAGGCTGGAGGTGGCTGGAGGAGTCAGAGACCCTGTTGTCTCTCTGGTTTCTCTCTCTCTCTGCTCTCTTCGTCTCTGTTACCCCTGGAAGAAAGGTTTTTTTGTGTGTGTGTGACACTATTCACTGTTTATTTAACAGACTAATACATTTTTCCAGAAGGTGAGCACGCTTGTCAGAAAGAAAGAACGCGCCCCTACCCATAGGGCACTGTCATCCTGCAATCCCTTGTCCACCTCGCTATCCTGTCTGGATTTCCAGCAGGCATGTGCACATGCCAGGTGTGTTTCTAAAGCCTTCTCAAAGATCTGGGACTCAAACTGCATGGATCAAATTGTAGGATCTGGCTGCCTCAACCACTAGACCATAGGCTGGACATTAATATAATTTAAAAATAATTAATATAGGGGCAGCAGGTGGCATGGTGGTTAAGGGCAATGGACTCCCACATGGCCAACCGTGGTTTGAGCCCCGGACCTGGTGGCTTGCTTTCTCACTTTCCCTCTCACTCTCTTTCTCTCTCTCTGTCCCTCTCTGGTCAAATTAAAGTTTTTTAAAATAATTAAAAAAATAATATATAACATTTAGTCAACTAAGTATTCTACTCTTCCAAAACCTAAGTATTTTAGAACTGGGTTAAAATGACAAAAGGTAGCTTTGGAGTCCAAAGTTACTTAACATTAAATATCAATAACTTGTTTGCTTAGTAATAATTAACTTGGCAAAAGTTTACTGAGGGTCTGACAACATCACATATGTTTGATACTTAAGTTTACACCTCTGTGTACACTTCCCATTAGAAACAGGAAGGATAGGGACTGACCAGCAGATAGCATAACAGTTACATCACTGACCTCCCACATAGTCAGCTGCTGTTCGAATCCTGGAGTTGGCAGCTTAAAAACTCAGCTGGGCACATGTGCTTGCATGACCATAATCCCAGGAGGAGACGGTGAGCACATGCCCCTGAGAACAAAAATCTCTCTTAAATAAATTAAGGGCCAGCAGGTGGTGTGGTGGTTAAGGTGTTGGACATTTCCTCATGGCTGACCACAGTTCGAGTCCTGGACCTGGTGGCTTGCTTTCTCACTTTCCCGCTCTCTCTCAATGTGTGTGTCTCTCTCTGACAAAATTAAAATAAATAATAAAAAATAAAATTAAAATATTTTTTTAAAAATTAAAGAAATATGAAGAATATTCAAAATGTTCGTGGAAATGTGTATTCTGAAAAAACTGTGCATGGGTTTCAAAAAGTTTTGCATCAAAATAAACTCATACTTTAATTTCATTTTCAGGTTTTTTTTTTTCTTGCTAACTGCTGTTACCTCTACAAAATTATTGAAGTCCCATCGTAATTAAGTGTCCTGGGAAGATGAAATGCTTTCAGAAGATGTCATAGTTGACTTGTGGCATGACATCTAAGTCAATCTAGTTCAGCAGCCCATGCTTCTGTACTCTGATACCATTTTAATAGGCTGATCAACAATATAACTGAACTTGAGATCGAAGATGGAAATATGAGGCCAGCCCTAGAGCTGTGTAGAAGCTGAATTCCAGTTTGCCACCAGGGATTCAGTTGAAAAACACACCAAGTCTTGGGTGAGTGTGCCCAGGATCTTGCTGAGATGGAGAACTGGGGAAAAAGTATTGCTACAGCTGACCAGAACCCACTGGGAGATGCTTTCTCTGTGTGTGTCTCTCTGTCTCTCTCTCCTGCATGCACATATATCATCGAGCAAAAAGACTAAAAAATCGAAGTATGTCTAAAGGCCTTTGAATTTAACACAAATTCAGTTTAAACTTGATAGATATCATGACTACTTTCTAAAATATAAATGAAGATTTTTCTAATCTAATGTGTACTTTCTAGTTTCAGCCACCATAAACTTCGTCAGAATTTCTCTCTCTCTCTCTTTAAGAGATTTTTTGCTATAGGATGTGTGTACTTGGTGGAGAGACAGAGAGAGAGAGTGAGAAACAACCGCCTATGGGGATGGCCACATCGCAATCTCTTCTCTTAGGATTTTGGGCACACACACATACACACACTCATATACACTACACCTGGCATGAGTCTCAAGTTGCCAGATCCAGACTTGAGCCACAGTCATCCACGTGGTATTCCAGTGCCATAGCCATGACATCACCTCTGGCCCCAAAGGATTTCTTTCTCTTTCTCCCTTATTTTTTTATTTTTTAAAAAAATTTTTAAGAGAGATTTTTGCTATAGGGTGCATGTGCTCGCTGAAAACAGAAAGACAGAAAGTGAGAAATTACCCCATAGGGGGATGGCCATGCTGAAGTCCCTTCTACTCTATTCTCTCAGGATTTTGGGCACATATGTAGTGGGCCTGGCATGAGTTTAAGTTGCTAGGTCTGGGACTCAAACCGCCGTCAACTACATGGGAGTACAACAAGGTAAATTTCATGCCATCTGCTGATCCTGGATTTCTCTCTTTTAATTCTAAAAGATGAATAAAAAGGGGACCAGTGGGTGGCATGGTGACTAAGGTGCGGGATGCTCCCACATGGCCTATGATGGTTTGAGTCCTGGACCTGGTGGCTTGCTTTCTCACTTTCCCTCACTCTGGTCAAATTAAAATAAGTGAATGAATAAATAAAATAAAATAATTATTTTAAAAAGTTAATAGATTGCTCTTCCCTCACCCCAATTACAAGTCTCACTTTTAGTTTAGTTTGTTTTTACTTTTTTATTAATTTTTTTATTTTTAATCATACTATAGGGCTTGTGTGCTTGCCAGAGAGAGACAATGAGAGAGAAAGAGAGGGAAAGTGAGAAGTCACCACCTAGGGGATGGCCATTCCATAGTCCCTTCTCCTCCAGCCACCCTTCAGCATTTGGGGCACAACGCACATGCATCCAGTGTGATTTTCAAGCCTCCAGGTCAGAGACGTGAACCATGCAGCTGGTCATGTGGGATACAATACCCTCCCCTCCATGCCACCTGCTAGCTCATAGCTTTTTGTTTTTGTTTTTAATTTCCCACATGGCTGACCATGGCTCAAGTCCTGGGCTTGGTGACTTGCCTTTTCACTTTCTCTCTTTCCCTGTCTCTCTCTGGTCAAATTTAAATAAATACATAAAGTTAAATAAAATCTTAACAAAAAACCGGGTCTTAATGGCTGTTTTTAAAATAGTTCAACAATAAGCACTGGGGGACACATATCTTCAAAACATGATTTCCTTTTCTTTAGGTATTGCCTAGTTGTGAGATTGCTGGCAGTTTTATATTTATTTTTTTAGTGCTTTTCATAATAGCTATACTAATTTACATTCCCACAAATGAGAGTTCCCCTTTCTCCCCATCCTCAACAGCAATTTATTATTACTGTAATTTCTTGTCTTTGATAATAACCATTGAACACAGGGCAGGATGAAATCTCATTGTGGATCTGTACGAATGGTCCAAATATATTTAATAGCTGTTTTGTATTTTGTTCTGTATTAAATTTTTATTAGAACTATTGAAGTTTACAGGTTTTTCTTTTCTTACTGATGTTTAATGAAATACAACATATCTAAGTCCAGGAATATACCTGCTTTTTTCTTGTCTTTTCTTTTTTTTTAAAGAATTATTTTATTCAACTTTATTTATTTATTTATTTCAATTTGACCAGAGAAAGACACACAGAGAGAGAGGGCAAGTGAGAAAGTAAACAGCCAGGTCTGGGACTCAAACTGTGGTCAGCCATATGGAAGTCCAGCACCCTCAACCACCGTACCACCTGCCAGTCCATTCTCTTACCTTTTCTATCCTCCCCAGTTGCTGTTGAATGTAAATCTGGATCCTGTAGAACTTTCTCATAAGATTTATTATCACGTTATCAGAAACTATAAATCTAAATCCAGAAGAGAATGAAACCTTTTCAAGTATGGGGCTAGCAGGTAGCATAGTGGTTAAGGCCCTAGACTTCCACATGGCCGACCCCAGTTTGAGTCCCAGACCCAGTGGCTTGAAAACATACAAAGTGCAGGTGCATATGTGTGTGTGACCAAAATCCCAAGAGTAGAATGGAAGAAAAGGGATTGCGGCATGGCCATCCCCCAGCAGGTGATTTCTCACTTTCCCTGTCACTATTTCTGGCGAGCACACTCACTCTATGGCAAACCTTAAAAACAAACAAACCTTTTAAAGTATGTATGTGTACAGGCTTCAAAAAAAATTGCATGATATTTAGAACTGGAGGACCTTATATCTATCTGCCAGCACTCACTAAAAACCTCTTTTTATTCCTAAGTTAGAGAACACTGTACAGGATGAACAGAGCCAGTTTGCTAGCACATTGGGAGCCATCATGTTAAAATTTCAAGAACTAGTCTGTCCTGGCACCCTTTGGGCATGGCGGAGGGAGCCTAAGATTGCCACACTTAGAGAAAATTTAAGGAAAACAAGGTCTTCATTTAACTCCCACTACAGTGTGGTAAAGTGTCTTCAAGTAGAGAATGAAGAAAGGGGTCAGACCTTTTCAGAGAAACCAGCATCTTCAATGGAAGAAAATTGTTTGGAATTTCAAGAAAGTTTTAAACACATAGTGAATTGGGAGAAAATGTATATTTGAAAAATGCCTTTACGAGTATTAGTACATGTGAATCAAAATCACTTGATACAGATGCTTTCCAAAACAATTTTTCAAAGCAGAGCTATTCTAAAAAAGCATTAAATGAAGAAAAAGCAAAATTGGTGAAGAAGATTCAGGAGAAAGAAGATCTTCTTCGGAGGCTAAAACTAGTCAAAATATATAGATCAAAGAATGAGCTGTCTCAGTTACAGTTGTGAATAAAGAAGTGGAGAAGCTCTAGCCAGCTGTTGCTTCGTGAGTTGCAGTCAGCTAGGTCTGAAGAGCACAAGAAGCCAAGCCTGACTCAACTGACAGACCATTATGGGTTAGATGATAAATTGCTACACTGTAACAGGAGTGAAGAAGAATTTGTAAGTGTTCAATTCAGAAGTTTTTCTCCAGAATATCTTTGAGAATGACAACTTAATTAAGAGATACACATTTTAGAGGGAAGATAACCATGAGGGCTTAAAGGAAGGTAACCTGATGGACATGATTTTAGGGCACACTTACACAAACTCAGTTCTAAATGGAAACAATATCTTGGATTGATTTGCCCAAAGAACTTGAGGTTTAAAGAAATGTAACAAAAATTGAATTGTGTTTAAAAAGTAATTTGGACACTTCTGGAAACCAGTTTTAATATATTTCTTTGTCTTTCAGGATGAAAAGTTTTATTTTAAATGTTAAAAAATGGTCCAATCTGTTGAATGTCTAAACCTAAATTGGTCTAAAATATGCTTGCCTCTCTAAGTGTATGAATCCTGTTTCCATTCACTTGCCACATGTTTCCATCTGATGATCTAACAGGTCATTAAACTGATAATGTCTGAATTAAAAAAAAAAAATTGGAACTGGTCTGTCCTTATTGGTGTTTTTCTCCCAGATAGCATCTTAGATCGTCTTTCCTCCTCTTCAGAATCCTTCTTTTGGAAAAATGAGCTAACTCCTCACCTATCCCCCATAATCTCTTCTGCTGGTCAAGGCCAGCCCAGTCTGGGCCTCAGAGAACCTCCATCTTGTGCCTCTCTCACCCTCCATCTCTTTCTGAGGGGCATCAACTCTCCCAAACTCAACAAGCCCTCTGTTCTGTTTTGTTTTTAAAATTATTTAATTTTATTTATTCATTCTAATTTGACCAGAGAGAGAGATAGGAAGTAAGAAAGCAAGCCACCAGGTTCGGGACTAGAGCCAGGATCGGCCATGTGGGAGTGTTCAGTGCCTTAACCACCACGCCACCTGCTGGTCCCTATTTTGTTTTGTTTTATTTTATTTTATTTGCCAGAGGGTATGTGTATTTGCTACAGAGAGAAAAAGAGAGAAAGCATCCTTAATGGGGCATGTCACGCCACAATTCTTTCTTCTCTGTTTATCCATCCTAATGAGATTTTGGGAATGTACTCACATGTACCTAGTATAGTTGTTTTGTGTTTGTTTTCCCCAAACCTCTGGGACTGAGATTTGAACCACATTTGCTCATGTGGAATCTAGCATCCTTAGCCACCAGGCTATGGGGCTAGCCCTCTTTTTTTATTTTTTCCCCCCTCTTTTTAAAGACAGATTCTTGCCATGTCACATTTCTCCTGCCCTAGCCTCCCAGCTAGGACTAGAGTCATGCACCATCATGCTGTACTCCTTTTTTTTTTCTTTTTTTGACAGGGTCTCGTCACTGCCCAGGCCAGTCATGAACTTGTGTTCTTCCTGCTTCACCCTCTTTGATTGCTGGGATTGTAGGTGCTTGCTACAGTGACTGGCCTTTTGCAAATAGAATCATTCTTCACTCATTTCTTTCCTCATCCTTCACAACCAATTCATTTAGCAAGTCCTGTTGGCGCTAATTTTAGATTATTTCTGGAACCGGACCACTTCCCACCAACTTCATTGCTTTCGTCAGAGTCCTATCTGACACTGTCCAACTGCTAGTTGACAGCCTTCTATCTTGTCTTGCTGCTTTTATTCTTTTACCCCTCTATACAGACTCTACCTACAATCCAGTAGCTCTTTTTAAGACACGGATTAGCTCATGCCATTTCAATACTTGAAAATTTCCAGGGTCTTATTTCTACAATACTTAGAATAAAATTCAAATGCTTTCCTATGATATATATATAGTTTTATCTAATCTCTTTCTCTCTCTTTTCTTTTTATTTATTTATTTTTTTGGAGAGGTTTTTGCTATAGGGCGCATGTGCTTGCCAGAACGACAGAGACAGACAGAGAGACAGAAAGCGAGAAATCGCCTCCTCGGGGAGGGGATGGCCATGCCGCAATTCCTTTTCCTCCATTCTCTTGGAATTTTGAGCATACACGCATATGCAACCAGCATAGTTTGATGCTGCCGGATATGGGATTTGAACCCTGGTTGACCATGTGGGAATACAGTGACGTGACCATTATGCCATCTGCTGGTCCCATTATTATTGTTTTTTAATTTACTATAGGGCACTTGTGCGAGGGGGCGAGAGAGAGAGAGAGAGAGAGAGAGAGAGAGAAAGAGAGAGAGAAAGTGAGAAAGCAGGCTGCTAGGTCTGGGACTGGAACCACAGTTGGCCATGTGCGAGTCCAGAACCTTAACCACCACACCACATGCTGGTCCACTACTTTTTATAAAATACTTATTTTAAACATTTTATTTATTATTAGTAGTATTTTAAAATATGATACAGGCACTTACTGGAGAGAGACAGAGAGAGAGAGAAAGTGAGAAAGCCACCAGGTTTGGAACTCAAACTGGTTGGCCAGGTAGAAATCTGGCACCCCAACCACCCCAACCACCATGCCAGCTGCTGGCCCCTCTGCTACTACTTTTTTTTTTTTTAAATTATTTTCTTTAACATTTATTTATTTACTTACTTATTTTAATTTGACCAGAGGGAGAACAGAGTGAGAATGAGAGTGAGAGAGAGGGAAAGTGAGAAAGCAAGCTGCTAGGTTTGGGATTTGAACTGAAATTGGCCCTTTGGGAGTCCAGTGCCCTTAACCACCATGTCACTTGCTGGCCCCCCTGCTACTACTTTTTATTCTTCTAGTTCTCACCATGTGCCCTGGCCTTCTCCTAAGCCCTTTCTTTCCACCTGTCAAGGCCTTTATTGCCTCAGCCTTTACACTTGCTAGTCTCTGTACATTCACCATTTTTCCTATGGCCTTGCTTGACTTCAGAGAAGCTATGCCTATGAAAACCCCTCACCTAACAAACACTCTTATTCACTTTCTTACCTTTTCTTTTTTAAAAATAATTAATTTAATTTTATTTATTCATTCATTTATTTTTTGAATTTGACCAGAGAGAGACAGAGAGAAAGAGGGAAAGTGAGGAAGCAAGCCACCAGGTCTGGAACTGAAACTGTGTTCGGTCATGTGGAAGTTTCGGGCGCCTAAACCACCATGTCTCCTACTGTACCCCTGCTTGCTTTTTGTTTACAGCACTTTGTAATATCTGACACAGAGATATTATTCATTTCCATGTTTATCATCTGTCTTCCTGTCTAGAATGGAAGCTTCATGAGAGCTGGAATCTTATCTTTCTTGGGCACAGATGTATTCCTGGTGCTTAGAACAGTGAGTGGCACACAGCAGGCATTGAATTTGTGTAAGTTACTGAATGGATCCAAATGCCGATTATAAGTCTGAAGTTACACATTTTTATATTTTTTGTTTGTTTTTTGGAGAGGTTTTTGCTATAGGGCGCGTGCGCTTGCCAGACAGAGAGACATAGAGACAGAAAGCGAGAAATCACCCCCCAGGGGGGATGGTCATGCCGCAATCCCTTCTCCTCCATTCTCCTCTCGGGATCTTGGGCACGCACGCACACGTGCCCGGTGTGAGTTTTAAGCCACCGGGTCCGGGACACGAACTGCGGTCGACTACGTGGGAGTCCAGCGACATAGCCATTACGCTAACTGCTGGTTTCCAACACATTCTTATATTAAAGACACTATCATCTTCTACATATCAACTATACCTCAAGATTCACTATGCTGAGTGAATGGGGTCACCAAGTATTCCATTGCAGAAAAGCTCAAAGAGTCATCCTTGACTCTTCCTCTCCCTCACTTGCCACCTGAAATCCTGCTCTCTATGCTTAAACGTTTTTTGAAAACTGTTCAGCCTGGGCACCATTTCTCTTTCTTTCTTTCTTTTAATTTAACTTTATTTATCCATTTGTTTATTTTAATTTAATGAGAGAGAGGGAGAGAGAGAGAGAAAGCAAGCTGCCAGGTCCAGGACTTGAACTGTGGTCCACTATGTGGGAGTCCAGTGCTCTTAACCACCAAGCCACTTGCCGGTCCCAGCGCCATTTCTCTTTCATCCTCCATCATTGGCCATCCACCTGGGACTTCAAGCTACCCCAGTTCCTTCCAATAGATTTGTCACACTGCCTCCAAGGAATAATTCTAATATGCAAACCATGGTTTCATTCCCTAGCTGTAAAAACTTCAGAGTCTTTCCATAGTCCCCGAAGTGTGTATTTTCTGTCTTTCCGCCTAGGAAAGCTCTGTGCAGACTGAATTTCTCTCTCACATTTCTTCAGTTACAGGGCATCTATTTGGTGAAATACTAAGGAGATATTTTAAAATGTATTTTGGCTGTAGTGACATGGGAAAAATCTGGATGAAATATTGATAAGGGGAAATAGCTCACCATTACTGTCATCATGTTATGATGGGAATAATTGTCATTATGCGTGCACGTGATCACAGCCTGGAAGTGAGACTGGAGGGGTGGCGTGGTGGTTAAGGGCGCTGGACTCCCATATGGCCCACCGTGGTTCCAGTTCAGGACCTAGCGTTTTGCCTTCTCACATTTTCTCTCCCGCTCTCTCTCGCTCTCTCCCTCTCTGGTCAAATTAAAATAAGTAAATGAATAAAAAAAAAAAAGGGGGGGGCAAATGGAAACAGTTGATACAATCACGAAGTTAAAAGTGACATTTTTTTTTAAGTGACATTTGTTTTGAGGCCGGCAGGTGGCATGGTGATTAAGGCACTAGACTCCCACATGGCTGATGCAGTTCGAGCCCCCTACCTGGTGGCTTGCTTTCTTTCTCACTCTCCCTCCCTCTCTCTCTTTGATCAAATTGAATAATGATAAATTAAGTAAATAGTTCTAAGAAGATAAAAAAAGTGATTATTTGTTTTAAACATTTTGTTCATCCACATTATAGAACGATTGTTTTCCTTAAAGTAATCGACCTCGCCCTTGAATCTACAGTCACGTTCTCCCACACGCCTTCTCGCTCTCCAGAACAAGTTGGTAACGGGCCCCAACCGGCCACCGTCCACAGGGTGGGCCTGCCCAACGCTCGCCTACGTCGCAGAGAGCAACTCCCTCGGCTCCTAGCGCTCCCTCCGCCCCACTTCCTCCCTGCAGACCCCGCCCCGCGCCGGTGCGCCTGCGCATCGGCGAACACGTGGCTGCCGCGGAGCCAGAGCAGCAATGGCGGCGGGCGGCGGCGGTGGCCGCGACCCCCTGGCCCCAGCGGGGGTCCCCTGCGCCTTCTCCCCTCAGAGCCAGGCCTATTTTGCTTTGGCCTCTACTGATGGTCACCTGCGAGTGTGGGAGACAGCTAACAACCGGCTGCATCAGGAGTACGTGCCTTCCGCGCACCTCAGCGGTACCTGCACCTGCTTGGCCTGGGCGCCAGCGCGGCTGCAGGCCAAGGTACAGCGAGCGGGACGGCGCGGGGGGTGGGTGGCGGGGTGCAGGCGCCCACCTGGGTTCAGCTTCGTCTGCCTCCCGCTGGGCTGCGCGTGGCCCGGCATCGCGCGTGGCCTTCCGCGGCCCGGGGCTAGGAGGAACGCTGCGAGGCGACGCCGCACACTGGGCCCACGCCGACATCTCCATGTGCGGCCTGTCCCGAGGGCGCGGCTCTGTATGGTGGGTAGTGGACCCGAACCCTACTGTCGGGGTCCATGAGGTCTGCGCCCGACTGTTGCCAGACCGCCATATTCGCCGAGGCCCCCGGGCCCCCAGGGGCGGCTTCCTTCTGCCAGGCCTTGATGATGAGCGTGTGCTCACCAGAGTCCTGGCGTTTGACAGAGCCAAGTCCTGGGACTATACCACTCTTC